CACGTCATGAGATTCTCGAAGGATCTTGACTTTTCCTGGCAACTCTAGACTGTTCTAGGTGCCCTCTTTTTGTATATGCAAATAAAGCGGAGATATAATTGCAGATAGATTGCTATAAAGATAGGGATAATTGAGTCAAGCGAACAGTAGGCACCGTAAGTAAAGTGTGTGAATCACTGTGATTTATAAATTGTGTTATAAAAGTTGTTAAATGTATTACAAAGTTGTATCGAGAAAGAATAAACTAGTTTTAATTAAGAAAGGACTTGTATCGCTGCAGTTCCTCGGAGAGAATTTATACCGGAAATTAACAAATGAGCAGATATGCAACATTATGTAGAAAAACAACTTAAATTTGATGATTCAGTTACTCTGCTGTCTATTTAATAATATGGCAAACTAAACTGTAATCATGCCAGATGTATACACAAACGGTTTAATAGAGTGTTACTGAAGATTCAGTTAAAAGTTTTCAAAGAACACCTAGATTTTATTGTAACACCTCATAAAGTTGATCCATGTAATTTTTAACTTTCATAATATTTATGTTTTTAGGGGTATCAAAGTCATTTCATGTTATTGGCCAGGTTCATGAATATGGGAAAATTCATGGACTGTAATTTTTTATAAGCAACTTCTGTACAACATAGTGTTGTGTCAGTGACACATGGTTTAACAACACAATCAGAGACTGGACATCATCCAAAACAAGTAGTAGTACATGCTACTAGTTCATGGTCTGGTTATGCTAGACAAATGGACAAGCTATATTAAATGATGTAATGGTGCAGATTGTGTTATAAAATGTATACCTATGGGCTTTAATAAAAGTGATTGGGCATATGGTATGAGGGCTGGTTAAAGTCTGCTTTGTATGACTTTTAAAAGATTATGATTAAAATAATTAATTCAAAATTGATGTTTAACCTCATTTACTATATTCTCAGTTCTAGAACCAATTTTATTTTTGATTATAAAGGGAGTAATGATTCACTATCAAAGTTAATGAAAATTTATATCTTAAAAATTTGTTAAGGAAGAAAATCACATCCAATACTTCTTACATAATCAGCAAGTGAATTTATGTCTGTACTAGTGTCTAAACCTATATTCTTCTCAGTTCTACTAAACCATTTCCACATGGGTCAAAGGTCATGTCATCTCATTTGTTAAATGCCAAATCTGATGAAGCATGATTTCTGAAAACACAATAAAACATAAAAAGACAAAATGGCATAAATAATATAAATAAATGGCAGATTAATGTAAATAATTTTAAACACATAATTCATAATTATCTCAGTGTGGATTTCTGATAAGAAGAGCATATAGTAGAACTTCAAGTACATTTAATTGTAGAGTCTGTTGGTTAGGATGCTCGACTCGCAATCTGTGGTTCACAGGTTCGAATCAGTGTCACCAAACATGCTCACCTTTCATGCATGGGAGTGTTATAATGTGATGGTCAATCCCACTATTCATTGATAAAAGAGTTGGCAGTGGATGCTGTCGACTAGCTGCATTCCCTCATGTCTATCAATGCTAAATTAGGAGCGGGTAGTACAGACAGCTCTCGAGTAGCTTTGTGAGAAATTCATAACAAACTTTCACCTAAAGCCAAAGATTTTTTTGTCTAACTGGGTTCTAATATTGAAAACTACTTACTTCAGTATCTTGTTTGTTTCTAGAGATAAAAAAAAAACCAAATATGTAGTAATTATAATTCTAGATATTTTCTTATGCTGTGTGTTGTGTGAAGGACAGCAATGTTGTAATAATTATTCTTGAGTAAATCTTTCTTTTTAGAATGTTGTATTTGTTACAAAAAAAAATGATGAATAGTGATCTGATTACAGTTGTGTATTGGTGTGAATAGAAACTAGAATTTAGAGACTACAGCATGATAATCAGAAGAGTTTACAATTTGTTTTATTTGTATGTATATTATATTAAATCTGACAGTTTCTTTAGTTTCCTGCAAGGTATGGAAACAATATGCATATGAAAGCGACGTAACATGCGTTTTATGAACTTCTTGTTTCATTAAAATATAAAATTTGGTGCATTTATAAATATAAAATGTAATATTTAAGTTATTGTTTGGTTCTGGTTCTACACTTAAGATACTGTTTCTCATCTATTGAAATATGGCCATTTCATTGTGTTGACATTTTGAATTATGTTTTTGGGGCACTTATTGTTATCTCCTACATTTTCACAAGATTTAAAAGAATTACATTTGTGTTTAAGCACAATATCTAATGACATTGGTACATTTAGGAAATTATTTGATACTTATGTTTATACTTTAATGTTATGAGTGTTGATTTTAATTATATCTGTTTTAAGTACAAACCATATGAAATCTCTCATCACATTCATAACAAATAAGAGCACGTGTATATACACATACTAGTGTTGATAGGTTTTTTGTTTGGTAAAAATGTACCTTCAGTATTTTTTGTGACATTAATATCTCAGTTATGACTTATAGATATTTATATAGGCAATATTATAATTGTGTACTCTTGTTATATTACACACAGGCTTAAAATTTGCATTACATAAACATCACTTTTTATCTCAAGTTTTAAATTAAGATAGTAATTTGTTGACCATTATTCGTAACTGTTACATTTCACTCAGTTAAGAAAACTACAGACAGTTCTTACATTGTATTTATTATGTGAAATCTAAACTGACACAAAATTGAAAATAAACCAGTTTTATTTGTTCTGTGTGACTTGCCTGAGTATAATGAGGATCTGTGGTTGTTATCATTAGACATTATCCAAATGTATAAAAAGTTTGGGTTCTTGTTCAATAATTCCATTAATCATGAATTCCATTTTCTTGTTAGAGAAAAATAGTTTGTTTTTTGTGAAGTGATTTCATTATAGATTGTAATACTTTCTAATTTCCAATGTGTTGTTTTTCTAAACAATAATTATTAATAGTTGACAAAATTATTTTATTCATATTTCTGCAATACTTCTGGGAAATTAATATTTGTTCCTTTATAATGTTTAACAGGGCCACCTACGACTAGTAAATGCTTTAAGTAAACTATACTCAAAACTCCTTGGTCGTGAACTGGACCCACTGACAGAAATCTTAGTCACTGTTGGAGCTTATGAAGCTTTGTATTGCACTATTATGGCCTTAGTTAATCCTGGAGATGAGGTATGAGAAACTTTTATCCAAAACATTAGGTATACAGGTGTTACAAATATATGTAGTAGCATATATGTAATTCAAGTTATTAACTTAGGCGTAAAATTATTTTCCAAGTTCATGTTTGTAGAATAATCATTAGAAACATCTTTTTGCAATAGAAATATAAGATGTTTGAAAACCACTTTAATTTTTATTATTAACATTTTTGTTATCATGGTTTTCTATTTTGTTTCTAGTTGCAGAAATTCCAAAAAATATATTTTTTACCTGTTTGGAATGCAAAATTCTAAATTTTCTCTGTTTGTATGAAAGTTAATAATGAAGTGAACTTAAAACCTAATTTTTACATATCTGTGTAAAGCTTATTCATGAACTTACAAAATTTGTGTAATAACTTTTTTAATTTTTCTAACAATTCTAAGTATCTTGGTTGAAAACTTGTGTTCATTAACACTTCAAAAACTGTTGTTGACCTTAATTATAAAGTTACATTTATATATGTGACTAAATGTTTATAATTATATATCATTGAAATCAAACTTTTTTGCATTCATTTTAGTTGATTGTTGTGTCTTTTATGTGTCTGCTAGTAATTTTGGTGTGCTTTCTTAAATAAATCCACTGTGTTTATATTAAATAGTTAATATGAATTTCACTTACAAAAATCCTAAAAAAAGGCTACTTTCTTCTTGAATTTGGCAGTTCTGTAATAAGAACTTCAATTTTTGTCGCTTTGCTGTTTTTTTATTTTAGGTTTGACGAGTAATGAGTCAGTCACAATATCATTAGTAAAGGTTGTTGTACTTCTGATTTTTGATTTTATGAATTTATTAAAGATACAAGTTCCTCTTTTAGTTTTTTATTAAAAGTAATAATTGTTGGTTGAAATATTTTACATAGAACTTGATATTTTGCATGATGAAGCTGTCATATAAATTTCAAAGAACATATAGGGGATTCTTGTAAAGTTTGATGATTGTTTGCAATATTATATATTAAATGATCAATACTTAAAGATCAGCACAAAATTCCTTGAATAAATCTTTGTGTTTTAAACGAATATTCAAAGTAAACTACATTTTTACATTAAAACAGCTAATATAATATATTTTTAAATATGTTACTAAAAAGTATTGGTACTTTTTGGATGTCTGATATTATCAAAGTTTTTAAAAAAATTTATTTGAATTTCAGGTGATTATCATTGAACCATTTTTTGACTGCTATGAACCAATGACTAAAATGGCAGGTGGTATTCCTGTTTTTGTACCACTTAGACCAGTAAGTTTCAAGATCTCTGTTAAAAGCGGACAATAATTATGAGTTAAAAAACAAAAAAATATTATCTATTATAATATTTCAATATAATCATTAGGGATTAATATAAATTATTTTAATTCCAACCTCTCTTTCTTTGTTGTTTTTATTCCATGATCTTGTAAGGATAATTTATTTGTTGCTGTTGTGTCCAATGTTGCCTTTTTTTTTATTAATCAGACCTGATGGTGCTGTACAAAAGATATTCATTCATATTGTTAACTTCTTAATAGACAGTGACGTAAAACCCTGATATGATGTTGTTCCAAGTTTCTCTTTCTCCATTTTTTGGCTTGTTTTATAAACTCTATTTTATAGGAAATTTACTTAACAGTTCTTGCTTGAAATGTCAGTTATTAGTTCTGACTGGTTGTAGTTTTTTAGTAACTCCAGTTTTGGAGAGTTATATTATTTCTTACTAGATTAGTCACTCATTTAGTATACTAACTCACTTAGTTGTATGTCTCTTTTTTAACATCCATTGTTAATTTTGTGACTTACTAAAGTTGCCTATAAGGCATTAATGTCAGCCATTTTGTTGCTATTTGTGAAACATGCCATGACCTATGACTTTGTGTTAAAGATTTAATGGAATATGAAAACTGCTTTTTTTATACTTATAATTTTCCCTGTGACATACTTTTGGTTCCTAAACCATGGATATCACAGTAAAATGCAGTGACTGGTGAATCACCTGCTTTTTGCTATATCTTTTTTTTTTTATGAACTTGAGGTTTGTACATCTGATTTTATTGTAATGTCAGTTTTTGAGTGATTCCTTTCATGTTATTTTTTCACTCATTTTCCTAATGTTTTGTAGTTAGATTTGTTTTAGTTGTTTCATGAAGATACATCCCATTATCAAATATGAAATTTCCTTTTACGAGTGAGGTTATTTTGATTTCATTATACTGAGGAGATTTATTCAGTTTTTCACTTCACTTTGTTAATATTTTGGCTTAGAGCTTACAGATTTTTCATCCCTTTCATTTTCAACAAGATTGTTACATTTAGACTTTACTTCAGATTGTTTTAACCATTTAAGTACGAGTGGACACGATTATCATCCACTAAACTAGGGAAAGACATTTATGCAACGAAAATACGGTAACTGTGTGTTCCTCACAAAGCCTTGTAAGATTTTGTTAAAGTTTATAAATATTTTGTACACAAAGAATGACATTATTCTAACTATAGCTATTATCATCAACGTGCAATGAAATGATTAAAATTAGGATGACCCCCAGTTGCACAGCGGTATGTCTGCGGAGTTACAATGTTAGAATCCGGGTTTTGATACCCGTGGTCGGGCAGAGCACAGATAGCCCATTGTGTAGCTTTGTGCTTAATTACAAGCAAACAAGCAATTAAAATTAGGAAATAGAAAAAAATTTAATGTTTTATTTTTCTTTCTTGTCCTTTACCACTTATTATTCATCTCGACATGTGCAACCCTTCGGCAGTATTTTCATTTAAAGCTCAAACAAATTTGTTGAAGGTAGGTATGACACCTGTCAAGGGTTGAAAAAATTGCTTACTTGTTTCAACTGCATTCATTCAGAGAGCTTTGATATGTATGAGTAAAAGGTTATGTAAGCATCTTATAATCTAGACGTACATCTACTCAATTGCCATTGTATTACTGAAGATAGTGAATGCTGAATTAGAGAATTTTCATAGCCCGTTGGTGAAGTGACAATACATCTGAAGTTTTAAGTAGTTTTTGTAAGGGTTTCCTTGCAAATAAAGGAATTAAACTTTGATAACATAAAACTTTGAATGAAAACATACATTATAATGGTAATTTCTTTCACATACATTGATAGTAAAGGTGTTTAATTAAATTTTGAATGTAACACAGTGACTTCTGCAGAAAAGGGTACCCATTGCATAAGGGTTAATGGCTATCTTCTCCAGATGTTGCAGAGATCAAATTTTTTGTCACTTTTTACATACTAATGTATGTTCCACACTTCTCAGTTATGCTTTCTTAATCATTTAGCTGTTGAATCTTCTGATTTGGTCTTTTTTTTATTCATTTGAATTTCCTTTATGTGAAGACGGCTGCTCATTTACCCTTTAATGGTGTTAAGTTTTCCAGCCATTAGATTGTTAGTTATGTTACTTTTTTGATTCAATTGTGTGGAGGTCTCTTTTTTTTTCTTCTATATTTTAAAGCATTTTCTGACTCAAGCTTCACTCCTTTCATCATCTTTGGGTGGCCAGTTTAAATGTTTGATTTCTGTTTTTGACTCACTTGTAGAAAGTTAATTGGAAAATGAAATGATAATATGTTAAAATATTAGTATTTTCTAATCATAAGTACATGTTCTATTCAAATCCATTATAATGTTAAAAGTGAAGATTTTGTGCAAGAATAGTAGTAACAAAATTATTGAAAGTGTTTTACTGTTAGTTGCATTCAATTATTTTTTTCCTTAGTTTAGTGAAATTAAATTAATAATGGATATATACACAAGTTTTTTCCTTCTTTTTTTATATACTGATCTTGTGTATTACATTTTACAGAAGAAGACTCATGGTCCTATATCAAGTGCAGATTGGGTGCTAGATCCCAAAGAATTTGCTTCAAAGTTTACAAACAAAACTAAAATGATCATTGTCAACACTCCACATAACCCACTTGGAAAGGTAAAATTTTATTATTCAGTTTTCATGTTGTTATTTTTATGAGTAGTTTAGAAATTATTAGTTTAAAAACTGCTATGAAAGTTAGAACCACTCACCTTGAAAAGATCGCTCTTTTAGATAACTCTACATTTAAAAAAAAAAAAACTTTAAGTATTTAGCAGTTAGCTAACCCTTTGTGTGTGTATGTGTACACACACACACACTAGCTCTTTGTATAAACAGTTACACAATTTTTTTACAGGGCTGGCATGCCAGGTTGTTAGGGCACTTGACTCGCAGTCTGAGGGTCATGGATTCAAATCCCCATCCCACCAAACTCTCTTGCCCTTTCAGCTGTGGGAGCATTATAAAGTAACAGTTAATCCCATTATTCATTGGTAAAAGAGAAGCCCAAGAGTTGGCAGTGGTTGGTGATGACTATCCACATTCCATCTAGTTTTTCAATGCTTAATTAGGGACAGATAGCCCTTGTGTAGCTTTGCGTGATATTCAAAACAAACTTAAATTCTTTACAGAAAGGAGGAAAGTAATTTAAAAAAAAAGAAAACATCATTTAAGCTTCTGAAGCTTGTAAATTTGACTACTTACATTTAGTTAAAACTCTAATGTGATTTTTTGGAAATTAAATAGCTATAACATCATAGCTGAAAAAAAAAAATTGATATGATGCTAAGTTAAGTTCACTGTTAAGTTACTCTGAGATAAAGAATAGTTCTATTCTGGTACGAGTTGTGAATACAGTTGTTATAAAAATAATAAGGATCTGAGAAGAGTAGATGTAAACATAAATTTGAAACTTGTGTTATCGTGTCATTGCCAGTTATGTTGGGTTTTCTGACCAGGTATTCCTTTAAACCTAATTACTGGAAACAAGGTACGGTGATAAACTATAATAACCAATTATTTTAGTATTGATGATTATAAAATTTATAGTTCCGTTTAGCACCTGAATCTTTATTTTGATAAACCCAGCATGACATAATTTTCAAGTGAGGATATTTGTTGTACAAGTAATTTATTATTAGAAGTGTCTGTGTTTTTAAAAGTATCTAATTCTAATAAATTCTCAAAAAATGTTTTGATTATGTGTAATAGTACCAATTACTCAGTTTCCTTAATTTGTGTAACATTAGTTATGTTTTATTATTGTTAATGGAAGCATAGTGTATAAAACATTTATTGAGAAAAATTAGTTGTTTAAGTAATAAAAGTGTGCATCATACCACCAACTGATTATCAGTGCAGAACAGGACGTTCTCATGGTGCTGACTGAAAGGTAAATAAGAGTAATTAATTACCAAATAAGTACACAAAGATAAATATTATATTTGTATTCAAGTATCATGGACATAAGCTTTCCATTTTTGAAATGTTCAACATGTTTAGAGAATAATGTTCTAAGTTTGTAAGAGCAGCATTTAAATTATCAAGAAGTACCTCAATTCCAATAAGTGAAAGGCAGAAGTTAACATGGTTTGCATGATAGTGGTACGTAAATTTGCTTTAAAAATACACATGAAAAATTAGTATAGAACATATACCAGCTACAAGAAACCATATATATGGCTGATGACACATGAAGAGCAAGAATTCTGACTCATGCATTAATATTAGCTTTGAAAACAAGGACTAACTTCAGGCATCTGTGTATAGTGTAACAATCTCATCTCATATAATCATATCGTTAGGCATGATCTTTGTTTGTTCAGTTGAAGTTTTAATGAGCCTGTAATATTATATTACGATATAATGCATAATTATATTACGATATAATGCAACTGCCAGTGTTTTAAGATTTTTGAAAGAGATGTGACCATTGAAACAAAATAAATGAAATTTTAGAGAATTCAATGGCCAAATTAAGAGTTGGAATATCAGAACCAGTAGTTGTTCATTCCTGCTACACAGCTAATCAGATGAACCACATACAGTTACTTATTTAAAGTAAATATTTATTTATTTTTTAATTAAATAAAAAAACATCATTTACTGTGCATGTCACAAGGTTTTAGTGACTTTCATTCAAAATTTTTTAACTACTTTTTGTTTATGTTATACCAATTATTTATTTCTTATTTTTCATGTTTGTTCTTTATTTATTATTATAAAAGTAACTAAAATGTAAAAATAGGGATCTTTTTAGGTAAGATTAGGTAAAATAAATAATAATTAATAAAAATGTAATTTGATAGCATAATGTGAGCTCCACATTCCCCAAGTGATCTACAACTTATAATGGTGTGAAGAGTAGTTAGTCATGGTTCAAAGGGCAATAAAATTGAAGTATAAATAGATGTATATTGTTAAGAGTTTAAAACTACTTAGGATAAAGGAATGTAATTTCATGTTAGAATTTGAAGTCATTCTAGAAAGAAAAAAAATATTTGTTAGATTTTTTTTTGTGGTTAAACATTGGTCATAGTGACCAACCTTTATGGAGTTAGGGTAGAGAAATTTACAGATGAAATATAAAGTTTTACTGAAAACAAACGTTTGAAATGTATTTAGGAGGTTTTGGAGATTGTGCAAATGAAATTTGAAATTTTTGAGATGAAGAAAAGTATTTTTAATCTTAACATGAAAATCACTTTTCACACAGAGTAGTCAAAACAAATACTTGATATATTCACAGAAAAATCTTTTTTAGTTTATTAAAAATACTTCACTAGAAATATGATTTTTTGTATGTGAAAGACTTGTAATGTTTACTGAAACTCTGCCAAATTTTGTAACGATATACATACTATATTAAATGTTAGTAGTATCAGAATTATAAAGATTTTGAATGAGTACAAAGAGATCACATGGTCAGTCAAATCGACTGTGTTGAGAGAGTTAAGAAAGCAATTTAAGAGAAAGATATTGAATAAAATATTAAAATGGGAGAACATTAAAATAGTGAATGTATCACTTTGGCAATGATGAGCAAAAAAAAACTTTCATTAATAAGGTTTCACTATTAAATAAGTAAGGTATTATTCACCAAAAAAAGAAAAAGCTAATAAATGTGTAACTGTATTACTGCTCAACCTTATCTTGGAAATCTAAAAGTTTTAAAGTGTTTAATCAGTGAAGGTATTGAGAAATTAAGTTCTTAATTTTAACTCATAAGCACTTGTTTGGAACAGTTAATTGCCCCCCCAATGGCACAGCGGTATGTCTGCGGACTTACAACGATAGAAACCGGGTTTTGATACCCATGGTGAGCAGAACACAGATAGCTCTTGTGTAGCTTTGTGCATAATTAAAAACAAATAAACAGTTAATCTGTAGAACAATTTATCCAAATTAAAATTTTACTTACAACTTGGTTTTCTGCTTGTAGGTATTTACTCGATCAGAGCTAGAGATGATAGCAGAACTCTGCAAGAAGCACAATGTAATCTGTGTCATGGACGAGGTTTATGAATGGTTGGTTTTCAAAGGGTCAGAACATATCCGTATGGGTAAATATCAATTCTTGAATTATGTATGAGTATTTTATTCATTGATTATTGCTTAATACATATTAAGTTTCTGTATAACTTACACTTTAAGATAGTGAATGTAAGAACTTTTTTATAGTTTATATTAATATGTAATTAAAAAAATAAATATCTTTAAATACCAAAACCATTTATTAATATTTGAGAATTTAGAATAACTTCGTAAAATATTATTGCATATTTGAATTAGGACTCAACAGAATCTACATAAATTTGATAATGTTGTAAGCAATTTAAGAAAATTATACATATCAAAAACATTTCACGTGAAATTATTATTTTCCCAAGTTAAACTTTGTATTTATTGTAAGGTTTTGGTCCTTAAATCAGAGAGACCCATTGCTGGAAGAACATAACAGCTATGGTAGCCAAAACTGTTTGTTACATTATGGTAAATCTTGTCTGAATTTTATTTTGCTATTCATTAATCCATATTATGTATCTTATAAACAATTATTAAATGATAGCTTAGGTTGTAAATTTTAACGAAGAATCTTAGTAAAGATAAATAAATTATCTGAAATGTTGAAAATGTAACAAGTCATTTTATTTTCAGATTAGGGAATAGCTAGAGAATCATGAGTTTCATGGAACTATGGGATATATTTATTAGTAAAACTTGTGATTCTATAGCTATACCCTAATCTGAAAATAAACTGAATTGTTACATTTTTGACAATTCGGGTAGTGTTAATTATATTATTTTAACCCTGTGTGCATAGGTGGGTCAAAGTGCATCTATTACAACCATTTTACAGAATTACATTCCAAATTTAATTAAACAGCTTTATTATCGATGTAAGTTGGTAAGTTTAGCATCAAAATGTAGCATATAAGTCAATTTTTAATACTGTATAAATTTTAATTTTTTAAATTTAAAATGAAAGATTCTCAATCTTCACTTCTCTGTATCACGTGATACTTCTTCATTCTGAATTGCCCTTTTTGAATTTTCTATTTTTTACGATCTGAGTTTGGCACATATCACACACTTACAGATATTGCTAAGCCATAATTAAATTTATAGCCTCCAAGCTTTTTGCTTTACTGAGGTGTGAACAAGAAAGTCAAAGCCATTTGGCACACTTCTCTTATAACATTCTGTCTTTCAAAGCTTGTCAATAATTATCTCTGACATTTGTGATTGGATTATGCATAACAAATAGAAAGAGAAATTTTGTCCTTACTGAATTCATTATGAGACTAGGCTAGTTTGTTCAGGTGACAGGATTGGAAATATTTAGCCTTGGTTTCATTCTTTGCCATTATAGTGTTTTTAACCTATTTAGAGCTTAGTTAGAAAAAAAGTTAAATTATTGTAGTTTTAGGATATTATATTTTTTGTGTATGATAATATTTTGTGTTATAAGCTACATATTTGAAATAAAAAATACTTATAGTAATGTGTTTAATTGTCTGTTACAATATGCAGTCATACTAAAAAGAAAAAAATTACATTAATTTAATATTTTTTTAAGTTTTTCATTTTACCCTGTATTGTTGATTTTGTAACAGTTAGTGTTAGGGTAGAGAAAGTAAATGAAATATATATACTTTTCCTGAAAAATGTTTATGATATTTATTTAGAAGATTCTAGAAGTTATGCAAATGAAAAGTGAAAAAAGTAATTTTATTATTAACACTCAGACTAGTCAGACTGACTTAGTAAATTCAAAGACAAATCTTTAGTAAAAGATGTTTATTAAAAATTCAGATTTATTTTATACAACTGACTTTTCTTTTGTACTAAAAGCTTACCAAATTTTGTGAAGATACACATGGAAATTTCAAAATTATAATAAACATTAGTTCTCCATTATGGGCATTGGTTCAGTGGACCTACACTGTGCACATAAGGCTAAAATACCTAACCAGTTGATGTACTAGCTTGTTTGTGGTGGCAGTTCACTGGTAATTGAATGCAGGGTTCTTATATGAGTAGTTTTTTTTTAGTTCTGTTTCTGCACATATTAGGTCATCAAGAAATTAATCTCTTTCTTTAACCACCCCCCAAAAAGTGTACATCACGTATAATAGTGAAACAAACTGCCTAAATGTCACGTTAATGTAACCAATATAATGTGTAAAGTTTAGAATACTTTAATCCCTTATAGTGATGGCACACGACAAGACACACTTTCGGCATGTAATGCTGTTTGAATACAAGAAGGGAAATAATGCCTCTGTAGCTACAAAGAATATCAAAGAAGTGTATGGAAATGTTTTGAACAATCGTAAGTGTCAATGATGGTTCAGCAAATTTTGTTCAGGTCACTTTAACCTTAAAAACTGTGATGGCAGGGGCTGACATGTTGGAATTGATATTGATGCTCTGAAGAAGCTTGTTGAGTCTAACCCAAGGCAAC